AATTATGCAATGTTATTAGACAGAGAAGCAGGATACGCAGATGCTGGCAGTCGGCTCGGCAACCGAGATAAACAGTCTGATTGAGGTGTAGTGATTTATCGCCCCGTGCCAGTCGGTGTTGGCCTCGCCGTGTCGGGACAGGCCCAGGTAAGGACTGATCACGCCGGCTGCTTCACAGACGGATGGAACTGTGCCATTCAGATCTCAAACCCATGACGTTCTCCTGACAGAAGCCGAGTCTCTGTTATGATTTTATTCTGCTTGTTATGTATTTTTATCTTGTCCAAATTCAGGGACACGTAGTGAGAATTAGCTTTGGCTGTAAGCTAAATGATTACTACACCTGACGAATGTGTGGCTGTTTGTCTATGTTTTCTGTGTCTGTCACTTTTTAAATAAATCTAATTAAAACATTTTTTTTAAAGATGAATAATGTTGTCTATTTAAAATCAATAGTGCATCATGCTAAATGTCATGTGATGGCTAAAATGCTTGATTTTCGGGGGACATTTTTCCAAAAGACACAGGGGGAACATGCAAACCCCACTCAGAGAGGCCCAAGTTCCGCCCCAAGAGCCAAACCCTGCAGGACCTGAAAGACGACGAGAGGCCACAGCTTTTTCTTTCTCTCAAATGCAAATAGTGCTGATAATAAACAAAGCTTAGTTGCTAAAAGAACGCAACAAGAAAAGTAGAAGCAGCTGTTTAATCTCTGATCACTGATAATAACTTGCAGCCGAGCTCTGCCTTGTAAAGTCAGTGTGCGTGAGGAGACTGGAGCACGTGGGAGGAGACTAGATAGATGAAAAAGTCTGAAAAGTCACTACAACCAAACAGCAAGACTAAGAACAGAGTTTAGTGGTTGGCGGAAAACTGAAATATATAATTCATCAAATATAACAACTTTCCAACTCACCTCGATTGTGTTTATTGGAGACAAAACAGAGGTGCCGCTGTTAAACAGAAAATAATGGGAAATACAGCACTGGTAACATGTGCCTCTGATTTGAACCCTTTAAGGATCACCTAATTTCGCCTGTTCCTTCTCGGATTATGATACCCAAATGGAAATGCTTATTGTGTGGACATCTTGTGTCTGATGTTGTGTTATGATGCCTCATTTGAAAGGTAACACTTTCTAGTTTCTGGAAATGTATGTTACAGTTTGTTGGGAAGGACACAGTCTGCACTACATCTTCTCAAACATGAGTCAAAGGCAATTTCAAAAGGTTCTCCTGAAGACATACTTTATGGTATGTTGTTCAAACTCACCAGAGGAGATGTCCGTGGTGTTGGCAACAACTGAATTAAATTTTAGACCTTTAGGTTGAACCATTTTGATGCTGGGGGCTTTTTTGTAACTAATGGGCACATTCGGCACAAGTGGTCAATTTTTGTGCCAAATGTGCCAAAGTGTTTTACATGCAAATTATCAATGGTATTACACCAAAAATCAAATTATATAATTGTTTGGCTATTAATCTTGTTATAAATATGATTTTTTCCGGAAATTGAGATGTTTGTAGAAAAGCTATTATTTATATAGATACGTGTTCCCAGTGAAAAATGGCTCCGTCTTGTCTTTACGCATTCAAATAATGCTGGAACAGTGGGAGTAACCTTGAAGTCCGACACATCGCCTGAAACCTAAGATTATTGGCTACAAGACAATTTGATTGAAAGCCAAATCGGCCAATGGTAGTCAAGACAATGCTGTCGTGACGCACAGATATCTATGTGAACCAGAACTGATTACTTTACTATCACATATACCGCCATTGAAAACTACAACCAGCTAATTTGGCGCAAACTCTTGACCTTCACCAACACCTCCCTACAACACCCACCTCCCGCTCGCTGATTGGTCGCAGGGGATTGAACCAAGGAAACTGCAACCACAAGGATCAGACCCAGACGTACATGTAGGAAATGATAATGGCCTGAGTGTACGGATGGCTAGAACCAGACTATGGAAAGATATAAAAATTAGAAGAAGAAAAAAACAATGAGAATGTTGATGCTGAGAAAATTACTTTCTACAATTGCTCTGATATCACCGCCCTGGACCTAAACCCTGGTGCTGAAGGAAGCTGAGCAAATGACATGACGACTCGCCAATGATGGGGAGGAGGAGGGTTGCTGCACGAACATAGCTTGAAGCTGCAAGACAACACGCTCTGTTTAAATGCAGCCGTGAAGTGTTTAGCAAAAGTGTGTGGTTGTGTATTTGAGGTTGATGAGCTTAGTATATGTGTGTAGCAGAGAGAGAACTCGTAATAGCAACGCAATCTTCCGAGTCTGAATTTTGGCTTCTGTTGAATGAGCTGTAGTTTTGTCCATATCCCGCTCTGTACGCTCACACCTTCGTGGCAGCTGTTCAAACCTGGAGAGAGTGTGGGTGGCTGCACTTTGCTCATTAGCTGCCGGGAGCCGTGCCAAACCCTCCAAGCCCGGGCCGTCCCGCTGTGAGGACGGGAAACTACTGATACTGTACTACACAAAACTACAAACTACAAAGCCTCAAACCACATCAGGAGCAGAGAGGACCCACTGAGACCACACTGCAAAAAGAAGTCAAATTTGGCTAAATGTATCTTAATCTGAGCACATTTTGACTCCCTAAAAACAAGATTAGCCAATCAGACAAAACAAAATGATCTTGTTTTCAAAAATATACAAGTAATGTCTCTCTTGGAATGAGAAAATAAAGCAACAGTTTTTGAGATAAGACGAAATGGCTTTGTCCCATCGGAGATTCTTCTTTTGCGACAGTCAGAATCTACTCAAATTAGGATAAAACCACTTGATTTAAGCTAGTATTACTCATATTTGATCCTTTTTTTGCAGTGAAAGCACTACCGCAACTACCACAGCTGCTGGCGAACCACCAAAAGCACAATTTCACACTCCACGGCTCGTGTAACAGGATATCGAATCTAGAGGGGTTTGAAGGATTGGGCTGTCAGGAAATATTCATGTGATTTGGGCCATGTGGGATGTGTAATGGGGGTCCTTCTGATGATAGTTTAAACAATGCAGCGGGAAACGAGAGAATTTTGGGTCCAGGAAAAATAAATACAGCCTCATATGGGTTTACAATAGAAATGTGTTTTATTACAGTTGCGGTGAGCAGCAGGGACGTGTTCGATATCAAGGGATTATTTCCAGTCACTTTGATTTCATGCAGCGATTTACTGTATATAGTTGTAATTACATCTAATTGTTTAAGAATGGTGCAGCGTGCGCAGTGATGCGGTCGCTGTATCGGACCGTTGTGGTAAAGAGGGAGCTGAGCCGAAAGGCAAAGCTCTCAATTTACCGGTCAATCTTCATTCCCTCCCTCACCTATGGTCATGAGCTTTGGGTAATGACCGAAAGAACGAGATCGCGGATACAAGCGGTCGAAATGAGCTTCCTCCGCAGAGTGGCTGGGCGCTCCCTTAGAGATAGGGTGAGGAGCTCAGTCACACGGGAGGAGCTCGGAGTAGAGCCGCTGCTTCTCCACGTCGAGAGGAACCAGTTGAGGTGGCTCGGGCATCTGTTCCGGATGCCTCTTGGACGCCTCCCTGGGGAGGTGTTCCGGGCACGTCCCACCGGGAGGAGGCCCCAGGGAAGACCCAGAACACGCTGGAGGGACTATGTCTCTCAGCTGGTCTGGGAACGCCTTGGGGTCCCCCAAGACGAGCTGGAGGAAGTGTGTGCGGATAGGGAAGTCTGGGCGTCTCTGCTTAGACTGCTGCCCCCGCGACCCGGCAATGGATGAAGCGGAAGAAAATGGATGGATGGATGGATGGATGTTTAAGAATGGAATCAAAGTGTCACTCATTGATACTCATGCATTTAATCAAATGAACTGTATTTTTTTAGAGCCCTAAATCCCAACTGCAGGACTTTGATCTGTTGGTGCCTGAGAGAATCACAAAAGGAAATGCAATCATAACAAACACAGAAGTGGCATTGGTCCAAGGTCTAAACATGTTAATGATAAATGTCCCGGACCAGGCATGTCCAAACTCAAGCCCGCGGGCCAATTGCGGACCTTTGTTTCTTTGATGTGCCCCTCTGCTGCTAACACAAAGTCGCCATTGACTTTGACAGTGTCATCCAACCAACTTCAGCTCCACCAATACAGTCCTGCTATACCTTGCCGTGAATCTCGGACCCTCTGGAATCCATTCGCTGACTTGATTGTTATTTACTGATTTGTTTTATGATTGTGTTACAACATTCTACATAAAAGGCTCTGTGGTGTGGCTCAATAAGGGCGTATCATAACCCATTTGAAATTCCAAAAAACGTCCAAAAGTTTTCAAATCCAGGTTGTCGTCCCCAGGTCAAGTCTTATGAACTAAAGTTGCCCTCTTACTAAAAAGTTTGGACACCCCTGCCTTAGAGCCTCCTGTGTTGGCAAGGAATGCATGCAGGTGTGGTGAAGTGTCTTGCCCAAGGAAAATGCATGAGAGAAAGTTGGAATTGAATGACCAAAAGCACTTGTAACTTACAAAAATGCATTCTCTAATCAGGTTTATAGGAGGATTTTTCCTAATTTTAGGAAAGAACCACCCTCTCCACTGTTTGAACAAAACTCTCTGGTCTTATTTGACCGGAATGATTGACAATTAGGAGGACCAATAGTCTTGATGATCCACACGGAAGTAGAAAATCCTCCAATATACCTTTAAGTGAAAACTACAGAATAGACGTGAGACTGATAACCACCGTTTGTTTGTTGTGATTTCTATTATGAGCCAAAAATCGTAAAATTGAAACCAGAGGTATAATCATTTTTATTGCCATTCCAAGTAACTGGGAGTCATAGGAATTTGCTTTGGCTCATGCAAACAAAAATCTTAATAGAATCTCTTAAAGGACCCCAGCTTTAAGTTACATGTTTTAAAGTTTGACCAAGACAATGACGTTTGTCTTTAATTTGCACAATGCACATTCTGGACAAAATTGGCTCATTTCTAGTCAAAAGTTGTGTAGAGCAGCTTTATTACCTGCCTGTCATGAGCTGGCTGCGGGACGGACTGCACAGCGGCTGCACGTAGTAGTTCTCCAGCTTCACTCCCTGCGCGGCCAGTCGGTCTATGGCGGGGGTCTTAATCTCGGAGCCGTGATACCCCACATCCCTGAAGCCCTGGTCGTCCACAAGGATGAAGACGATGTGCGGCTGCGTCCCCCGGTTCTCCCAGGACATGTGCACCGAGCTCCAGGTCTGCGCGATCACGAAGCCCAGCACCAGCACCGTCGGTACCCACACCACCAGCATGCTTCACCAGGGGCCAGTGCGCATCACCAGGGGCTAGTGTGCATCACCAGGGGCCAGTGTGCAAGGAGCGGAGCCGAGAGAGGGCTGAGGCATGCTTCAGAGACGAGTGGGTATCCTCAAGTGTCCAAAAAAATAAAAGTGATCCACGTGGAACTGGATCCACTTCAGCAGCGAATCAAGGCGCATGTAAATGACAGCCCTCTTCTTGGTTCTGGGGTTTGGAAAAGGAGATTTAGATCGTAGCAGCGCAGAGGAGGTCGTGACGGGATCGTGGGGTCCATCCTGAGCTGGAGTGGGTTGTGTCTTGCCCCGCGGAGGAGACGGGTCCCCTCTGAGCTCTCTCCCCACTGCGCTCTCTGTGCGTCTCCTGCTGCGGTGCGTTCAGGGACGCATAGGACAGAGCGTGAGCGGCCACCTGGGATAGTTTTGTGTGGTTTTTCAGAAAGATTCGCGCACGTTTGAGTAAAAGTGTTTGTATGTAGCACAGTTCATACACAAAGGTAACTCACAGTGCTTAACAAAAGAAGAAATTTATATTAAAATCACACTAGGCGTTAAGATGAAGAGATCCTTAATTCGTCCCACACTGGGGAACTTTCAGTGTTGCATTACAAGTTACAGGACAGTAGGAATGAGGAGCACACAGCACAAGATAAGTGAATATCAAGTATTGCACAACTCTATACTATAAAAATGAAATCTCGATTAAATCTCTATTGTGCTCATAAATATTCACAGTACATTAAAAACGAGTAAAACTACAATCCTTCAGTCGTACGCAGCAGTATAAGCCTGTCTCACGTTTTTAGGAAGACTGTTCCAGATTTTGGGGCGACAGTAGCTCAGTTGGTAGAGCATTGGCCTTTGAGCCTGAAGGTCATGGGTTCAATTCCCACCTCTGCACCTTCTCCACCAACTCCCACTGATGACTGCTGTCGTTGTGTCCTTGGGCAAGACACTTAACCCCACTTTGCCCAAAGCCCCCACTGAAAGATCAAGGCTATGCTCACACTCAGAGAGCAGCCGTCCTCCTGTGGACTCACCACCTGCAGAGGGTCAGTGAGGGGCTGGTGCTATGAGACTTGGGTGGCATCTCTGATTGCCACCCCCCTGACCCAGAAATGGATTAAAGGGTAGAAAATGGATGGATGGATGGTCCAGATTTTGGCTGCATAAATATAAACACTGCCTCCCCAATGAGTCATGACTCTGGGCCCCAGCAGGAGGCCAGTCCTTGTGCAATATCTTTTTTTTTTTTAAATATAATTGTCTTTATTTGCAGTGGGTCCTTGTGCAATATCTATCAATATCTAAGTTCTTGTTTATTTAGATGTTTTTGAATCAAATAATATTTGGATATTATCACTGGTGTCATTCTGTAAAGATTCAAAGCTCATATGTGTCATAACTGGAGCTGACCTGAGCACGACGGTTGTTTTCTTTATTCAAATGACAGTGTGTAAAATCTGCCATTCAAATTACAGTCTCTTTTTATATTTTCCATTATAATTACAGCTTAGTATCACGACAATAGTTATATATTTTATTTTATTTTATCTTTTGTGGCTTGTTTCATATACACGGTTATATTCACCCTCTTGACTTCATGCTAAACCTGTATCATGCACCAGGACATGTGTATCTTTGTGTTTTCTTTGCTCCATAACCACTGCTGCCATAGTTATCACTGCATGTGGAGTACAGTGACACTATAATAGTTCTCTCTCCTCATGTCTGTCTATAGTTTTCTCTGGTGAAAAGTGTGTGATTTATGTGTGCAGCCTGAAGAGACATCTTTAAATGACTAAAGCAGAGGAGTTGGAGCTGAGAGGGAGAGGACGGGGGGTTCGGTTACACCACTGTGGACGGTTATGGCCCACAGGGTTCTGCTTTCATAAACAATGGACGTAAATTAAGTTTAAGGAGATTCGAATAATGTGTTGTTTGGTACAAGACAGAACTCACAATCAAATTACTTTTCTTTAAATCAGACCCGTGCATTATAATTTTGCACTGAGAGAATCGTGAGATTGCAGTAATATTGGTGACTCTGCAGACACCGCTGCATGTGTCTGACTGTTGTGGCGAAGAGGGAGCAGCGTCTGCAGTCAAAGCTTACTGTACATAGGGCCATGAGCACACAACTGAAAGGAAAATATTGAAGATACGAGCGTTTTTTATCATCTTGGATATATTTAAGGGATGCCCTTTGATGCCTCATATTGTCCAAGGCAACAATTCCCCCAAAGAGATCTAAGACACACGGAAGGAGCTCGGGGTAGAGACTCTGCTCCACCACATGTGTTTCAGGTGCCTCCCAAGCCCCGGTGATCTAAGATGGCGTCTTATTCAAATCAATGGCTTGTGCTCAGTAGCGCATGGGACTTCACGGGGGCCGAAAGATTAGCGGAACTCACCCATATTTGGGCATTGTCTGGTCCACCCCGGTTCTGCGCCGTGGACGAGCTCCCATGATACTTTGCGCCAAATAAGCGTGTGACCAATCAGCTAAAAGAAGCTATACCCGATTTTTTTTCTAAGTAGTTCATAAAAATGCTTTTTACTACATACAAGTTGTATCATAATACATAATTTAATTGAAAACTTGAGGTCTTTGATTCAGCTGTGTATGAAATTCAGGCAGTGAAAAGTGCTGAGTAGAGTCTGAGCGGGCCGCTCGTGCTCCTCCACTCACAGAACGGGAAGCGACCAGCCTGCGTCCTCTAGCCTCTACAGCGCTGCTTAACACCAGGGCTTATAATTAGAAATGTATTTAATGACTGCAAATAAAATAGTTAGCTCCCAAAGGTTTCACCGGGATGTGCTAGGCAGGTAACAGCTAAGCTAGCTAGCTGTTTCATGGTAACTTCTGGGTTTTTCGCGATCGCTTTTTGTCACTTTAAAACAGTATTTTTGTCATGAAAACGTTGACAGCAAATTCTGAAATCGTCCGTGCATGTGTGTTAAGGATGTATATGTATACTGTATTGTCCGATTGACGTTTAATGGTGTTGATTGATTGATATGTATTTGTTTATTGAGCGTGGCTTGCTCCGCTACACAGCAAAAACGGCTGAGTAAAATTTCCAGAGTCATTATTTTTTTCCTCCAATTGAGTTCTTTTTAAACATTTTAGAGTAAAATAACCTCTAGCGGCCTCTAGAGTGCGAGTGATTTTTCAGAGATGATCAGAATCTCCTCGATTGGAGTAAATGAGGCCCCGCCCTATGTCCCGCCCCCAAAACTCAGGTCTTGAGTTTCTGAACCGCCGCCATGACAGTTTCTCGCTGGACACTAGCAGACGGAGTGTGGAAACCATGGATGTACTCATTTCTTTCTACGTCATGGATAGTCAAAAGGATACAAGGTGAGTCTAAATGCGTATTTAAAGTTTGTCACTTTTTTCAGTTTCATTTAGTCCATGCTGTTATCGCGGTGTACATTTGGAACACAGTTGTGTCTTGTGAAAGCTGCTAGCTTAGTGCTGTTACAAGTTACAAATACTGATATAGTGTTACATCTTCTGGCAATCATATGTGGTTGGAGTTGTACAGAGTTTATTAGTAATGGATTAATATACATTCAAAATGTAGAATTTGTTAAACTTATGTTAATTAGTTAATCAAATTTTGCGTCACTGCAACACATTCTTTGAGCTATTTTTTAGTGTGTGTGTGAATATTTAATTATTTTCTGCCTGCTAAAATGTCATGTGAAAACGCCTGTTGTTGCTCCGGTGACGTAGACAGACGACCGCGTGCATTACTTGGTGCTTTAGCATGGTTTCTCATGGGTTAGAATGGCAAGTATTTGACACTGGGCATGAGCTATGGTGGCACGTTAGCATTGTTAACAGACAGCGCAGCACATGAGGAGGTGACTCTGACATGAGTAGTTTTGTTGTTAGCATTGTTACAGACAGCGCAGCACATGGAGGTGACTCTGACTGAGTAGTTTTGTTGTTAGCATTGTTGTTAGTATTGTTGTTAGCATTGTTGTTAGCATTGTTACAGACAGCGCAGCACATGGAGGTGACTCTAACATGATAGTTTTTGTTGTTAGCATTGTTACAGACAGCGCAGCACATGGAGGTGACTCTGACATGAGTAGTTTTGAGTTGTTAGCATTGTTACAGACAGCGCAGCACATGGAGGTGACTCTGACATGAGTAGTTTTGTTGTTAGCATTGAGTGTTTACAGACAGCGCAGCACATGGAGGGTGACTCTAACTTGAGTAGTTTTGTTTTGTTAGCATGTTGTTAGTATTGTTGTTAGCATTGTTGTTAGCATTGTTACAGACAGCGCAGCACATGGAGGTGACTCTGACATGAGTAGTTTTGTTGTAGCATTGTTTACAGACAGCGCAGCACATGGAGGTGACTCTAACTGAGTAGTTTGTGTTAGCATTGTTGTTAGTATTGTTGTTAGCATTGTTGTTAGCATTGTTACAGACAGCGTAGTTGACTTTGGATGCAGTTTTAGCTATGTTGGCCACATAAACACTATTACTGTTACAACAGTGACCACATGTGTGTACTAAAATTGTTTTATATGTCTCCTTAGATGAATGCTGAAGTGATGTGCAGCGATCCACAGAAGTACATCTGCTATGAAGGGCAGCTTTGTTTTTGCGTTATTCTTAAAATGTAGTAAGTGGGAAATATGTAATTATCTTTAGCTTCAGGGCATTATAAAGTAAAATGCTTTGATAATATTACATTGTACTCCACTCTGAAATGCCTTGATACTTGTAAACAATCATAAACATACATTTGTTTTTGCAGTTGCAAATATAATGGATATTCCAACTTTCAAAGTCTATGATGAGACGAAGACTGAGGTTGATGAAGTATTTGAATTCTCCTCAAGAAGGAGCGTTTGGGTGTGCTAGATGTTTGTTCACCAAAGGGTGTGTGTTGTTTTTAAATAATTAATTAATTTAATGCTGTATTTTCATATATTAAGGTTTTTATTTTGACAACTATGACTTTATGTTGCAG